GATATACAGTAGAATGAATGTAAAACTAATGTTCTCCCGTGTAAACTATCACATAATTCACAATAAAACATTTAAGGAAAAAAAAATTATGAATAGACATTTCAGCAAAGAAGATACAAAAAAATTTTAATAAGCACATGAAAAAAAAAGTACTGGTGAAATCAGAAGTATCTAAAGGGAAAATCTGTCATCCTGTTGGTTAGTAAAGAACGCAAGTGCATGAACGATGCAGAAAAAGAACAGTCTTCTCTCTTGTCCTCTGGGTCTTTGTTCAAAGAGCCCCTAATCAGAGGATCTTCCTTGACTATGGTATGTGAAGCAGCCTGGGCCTCCTTTATTCTCTAAACCTGTACTCAGCATTACTTTCCTTTATACCAACAGACATGTTACATATTTGTTGAAATCCTCCCACCACCTGCACACACACACACAGAATGCAATCCATGACAGCAAAGATTATGTTTTGCTCATCAGTTTGGACACAGACTCCCTCATACAACAGGAGTTCAACAAATATTTGTTAAATCAATGAAGGCACAGCAGTTTGGAGAAAAGAGGTTTTGTCTACAGTAGTCAGATATTAGAAGTACAACTTGAGCAAATGCTTTTGTTAAAATGGTGAATTCATTTGTGAATATAAAGGTCATTCCAATTTTCTAATCATTCTAAAAGGCAAAGAGAAAATAGAAAGCATCTTAGAGAACAAAGAAATTGCAAAGTGTTTGGAAAGAGGGACCCTAAGATGGAAATCCTATGAAGACCAGACAATTTGGTCACACTGAAAGCACCTTTCACAAGAAGCTTAAGAATTTGATTAGTATCCTAAAGGCAAAACGGTGTTGCTGTTGGGACAATGGTTGTCACAGTGAGGCCTCCAAATCTGCAGCCCATTCAAGCTCATCTCAGATCCACTGAATCAGATGCTGGGGAGGGAAGGGAGAACCTCAAGGTATAGCTGAATTTAAAAAAAAACAACCCCAGTTTCACAATAGTTGTTGTTGTTATTAAGTGCCTTTGAGTCCGTTCCAACTCAAACAAGCCTGTATAGGGTTTCCGAAGAGAGGCTGGTGAGTTTGAACTGCCAACCTTCGGTTCAAAGGGAATATCCTGCACCTCCACTGGGTAAAGTGAGAACGCAGAGCTTCAAAGCGATTTGAACTGCTTCAGTCATAGTTGATGAAGTGAAGTTTGAACAGACCTAAATTTTAAATTATTTGGGTGATCCATCACATTTACAGGAACAGGAAAAATTATGGGTTTAAGCACTGGAATGAGACTGTGGAGAGGCCTAGTGAGTCATTTTACAAGCCTGATGTGTGGTACTAGATTCTTGCGGGGACTATGAGACAACACACATTAAACGCAACAGAGTAGGCACCATCTTTACGCTGGATACCATTATCTCCCATGGTGCCAGTCAAGAGATTTGGTTGCTATGTAACATCCATGCTGCCCGTATTTTCTAAGAGAGAGATGAACTTTCCAGCAATTTTCTTTAACCACATTTTTTCCTATTCAGGTTCTTGTGTCATTGTATCAGTCACGACTGAACCAAGGTGAACTGATTCAAACACTGGAGTAAAGGCTTAAATTTTACCTGGCATGTACACCAAGTACTCTGAGTACCCCTTCTTACAGGATAAAAATCTTTCTCCTTCATTTAGGAGACTGCTGATCACCTCTTCTAAACACACCCCACCTGCTATTATTCAGAGCACCAATTAGAGCTACTGATTCACAGAATATGCCTCGCTCTCAACCCATCCCAATCACAGTAATTTTCTAGTGGTAGGGGCTAGACTCTGACTAGGCAAGTCATAGTCACCCTACCAGGCCACAGTGATTGACCTAAGAGTGGGCAAAGAGTCCTTCTCTGGGATTTTCTTAACTGGAGGTGGAAGACAGCTCTTTCTTCTCTGATGGCACAACAGAATGAAAGACAGCCCAGACTTGTGCATCTTCACAATCGTTATACTTGAGGCCACTGTTGTTGTCACTGTTCCAACCAATCTCGTTAGAGGTCCCTCTTTTTCAATGACCCTCCACTTTACCAAGCATGATGTCCTTCTCCAGGGAATAGTCCCTCCTGATAATACCTGCAGAGCATGAGAGACAAAGTCTCACCATCCTGACTTCTAAGGAGCATTCTGGCTGTACTTTTCCCAAAACAGATTTGTTTGTTCTTCTGGCAGTACATGGTACTTTTAATATTCTGCTCCAACACCATAACTCAAATGTATCAATTCTATTATCTTCCACATTCATTGTTCAACTTTCACATGCTTATGTTATTTGTTATGTCCTGTGGAGTCCGTTCCGACTTATAGCGACCCTGTACAGGGTTTCCGAGGCTGTAAATCTTTACGAGAGCAGAAAGCCTCATCTTTCTACCGCAGAACAGCTGGTGGTTTCGAACTGCAGACCTTGAGGTTCGCAGCCTGATTTGTAACCACTATGCTACCAGAGACTACTGAAAATATGAGGGCTGGGGTCACATACTCCTTAGTCCTCAAACTGACATCTTTGCTCTTCAACACTTTAAAGAGGTCATGTACTACAGATTTGCCTAATGCAATATATCATTTGATTTTTTGACTGTTACTTTCCTAAGTGTTGATAGTGGATCCAAACAAAACAAAGTCTTTGACAACTTCAATCTTTTCTGTATTTATTATATTATGTATTGGCCCAGCTGTGAGGATTTTTGTTTTCTTTACATTGAGGTGCAACCCATACCATCAGTAAGTATTTTAAATCCTCTTCACTTTCCACAAGCAAGGTTGTACAATTTGCAAACTGCAGGTTGTTAATGAGTCTTCCTCCAATCCTGATGTCACTTTCTTCATATAATCCATCTGCTTGGGATTATTTGCTCTCATACAGATGGAGTAAGTATGGTGAAAGAACACAATCCCTGGTGTACACCTTTCCTATTTTAAACCATTCAGTGTCCTCTTGATCTTGTCAAACAACTGCCTCTTTGTCTATGTACAAGTTCCTCATGAGCACAATTAAGTGTTCTGGAACACCCATTTTTCATATTGTCATGTCACTATCCATAGATTGTCATGATCCACACGGTGGAAAGCCTTTGAAAAGTTAACAAAGCACAGGTAAACATCTGTCAGCCAAGATCCACCTGACATCAGCAATGATATCCCTTGTTCCATATCCTCATTTGAATACGGTTTGAATCTCTGGTAGTTCCCTCCCTGTCAATGCCTAGGATAGGTAGAACTCAAGAAATGTGAATTGGATAATGCAAGAACGGCTTCTGAAAACATGGCCTGTGAAGGAATGGACACAATAACTACACAGGAATCGAAACTATTGAAATACTTGGGAGTTTCATGGACAGGTACATAAGCTGAACAGGTAAGAGAGGGAGAGTAGGAGGAGCATACCCACAAATCTATAGGGATTTGAGAGAGGATAACACAACTATGAATGTGCCAGGACAAAATAATGAAAATGTAGACATTATCAAACATCTTAAGGCAATGAGTTGCCAGGTCTGAGGGCTCAGGACCATAATCTCAGGGGACACTAAGGTCAATGGGCATAAAATAGTCCACAAAGGCAATATTCTACATCATACTTTGTTGAGTAGCAACTGGAATCTTAAAAGTTCATCAGCAGCCATCTAAGGTGCAACTTGTGGGTTTTTCATTTGTGGAAGGAAGAAGAATGATGAAAATTTAAAGATGCTTGAAATCAACTAGTCCAGTGGACCAATGGAACATTTGAACACCAGTCACCACAACTGAGACCAGAACTAGCTGATGTCCAGCTACCACTACCAACTGCTCTGAAGAGGATAACGTTGTTGCTGTTGTTGTTAAGTGCTGTTGAGTCGGTTCCAACTCATAGAGACCCTGTCTAGGGTTTTCAAGAAGCGGCTGGTGGGTTTGAACTGTTGACCTTACAGCTCAAACTGACGTTGCAACCCAGCACATTATCCTGCAGTGTCAAACCAGGATCACATCAGAAGGTCCCAAATACAGTAGGAGAAAATGTGGAACAAAACAAATAATTAAAGATGATCAGGCTTAGTGGTCAGAGAGAGACGGAGGTACCTGAGACGTTGGTCCTCAACCACCCTTCAAATCTGAAACGGAATTCACTCTCATGGGCCAATTTACAACCAAGCAACAGACAGATAAATAGGGGGGCAACACAAGTAAGGTAGATCACCACAGAATGGCCAATTATTCAAGATCCAAAGGCAATATTTACCTAAGGACCAAGTTGAGAAAGGATGGGAGGGAGAGTGGAATGGAAATGAGATGAAACAAAGTATATGATTCGTTCATGTAAAACTGATGGGTCTTCTCTGTAAATCTTCACTCAATTCAAAATAAAAAGTTTCAAGAAAAAAGAAAGACTTGGAGTTAGAGTAATCTGAAAAGTTTATGCGCTACATTATAATAGTATGACATTTACACAGTACTGATATAAGGCAGAATGCTTACTACAAAAGATAGACTGCTTCAAGGAGGAAGTACTCTTTAGGTGTCAAATGCAAAAATGAGATCAAAGAGGATGAAAAGGCTGAATGTGAGCTAAATCATAGCTTTGGGCCCACAATTTAGAGATGGAAAAGACCATGAAACTACAGAATTATTAAACATTGGAATTATTAAATATTAAACTACAGAATTATTAAAAATTAAAAATTTGTAATTTGTTCATTCATTTAAACATCTGAGTACCTACTACATGTCAGGTACTATACAAATTGATTATTGAACTACTATCTTGTGACGTTTAGCTGCTAAAGGATGGAAACAGAACAGTACTACTGGGTACTACAGAGTCAAGTGTGGGGGGTTCTTAAAGATATGGGAGACCTTAAACAACACTTTCTTGAGGAAATGGAAAAATGAAAACTTGCAAGTAAGAGACAGATTTAGAATATGATACTAAATTTCCTACATTTAAAAAAAGGGAAAGAATTAATCCAAAAAAATAAACTATGGAGGAAAGCATGTAAAAAGGGAAAAGGGGGGCGGGGTTATACAGTGAGAGTGCCCAGATCATGCCGCCAGACTATCTGCAGAGTTAAAAAAGGAAGATGAGTTATTTAAGTGTGCATGTTAAATCAGGAATTTATGATCACCACACACACATGCTCAGTCAACTTTTAAATAGCAGCTATTCAAAATTATTAATTCACAAGGTACAGATATTCTCATTCATCTGTCATATGTCAAGGACTTTAATGTGGACATGGCTCACCAACCTTGTGACAGATTCTAGGATAGACTTGACTTTAGACAGGCCTTCTTTACCAAAATACACCACGGTGAGGTGAATCCTCTTGTCCTGATGAATACATACATCCCTAACAGAATTGAAGAATATAAAGTTCATTTAAGAAAATACACGAGGCACTACTTATTCAGAAAGCAAGCTATAACATGAAGCAGTAATAAGAAAACAACTAACACGTTGTTGTTGCTAAATGCTGTCAAGTCAGTTCCGACTCATAGTGACCCTGTCTAAGGGTTCCAAGGTGTGGCTGCTGGGTTTGAACCCCTGGCCTTTCATTCAGCAGTCCAATGCTTATCCTACAGTGCTAGACCATAGAAAACCATCACACAAAGCTTTGAGTAAATAAAAAAACAGCAATACTGCTGAGTTGTTAAAGGCATTACAACAAATACATATATATCATGAGTGTGATCTTGAAGTGTCATAACAGCACTCCAACAATATTGTCATGTTTCAAAACATTTTTTGGAACTTTGGCTTTGGTATTACCTTTAGAAGCAAATTATAAGCTATTCAAAGGAATAAATCCAGTCTGTTCTGAACCAAATAAATAAACACTCAGGTTTTCAACCAAGCGTTATTTTGTCCTGGTGGTGGCAGTATGCCGTGGAGTCAGTTCCAACTCATGGCAACCCTGTACAGGGTTTCTGAGGCTGTAAATCTTTATGGGAGCAGAAAGCCTCATCTTTCTCCCACGGAACGGCTGGTAGTTTCGAACTGCTGCCCTTGAGGTTAGCAGCCTGACTTGTATTTTGTCCTAACACTGTCTAATTCTGGAAAGTATACGTATCATCAAAGAACAAAGATCTGCCACGACAGAGATTACTTAGTATTAAGAATAACATAACCACTGAAGATAATTCCAAGAAAGGCAATCAAAAAAGGCTTTAGAAAACCGGGTCTCAACAAGCCATTACAAATAGGTAAACTCATTTGGAAGCATGACTTTTTACTATTTTGCTAAAAAACAGACTATCTTTTAAATCCAACAATTTCAATATAAGAATAAAGATTAAGATTACAAAGCATTAAAATTAACATATTGTATTTGAATACTTATTCTGAATATAAAAGATAACTTCAAAAGTATTTATAGAAAAATCAAGTTTTATCGCACCTGCCTTTACATAATGTAAAAATATTTAAAATATGGCAATTTCTAAATTAAAACAAAAAAGCAGTACTTTCTCATATAGTTATAGCAATAGTTACTAATTATTTAACATATCCCTGTTTTAAACTATCCAAATTTAGTGACTAAAAAAAGAAAAAAAAATCCTTGCTTTCCAAAGATGGAATAATTTTTCCATAATTGTGAATAAATATTTCTATTTCTAAAATTTATTTGAGTCCTGGTATGATGCAGTAGGATAAGCACTGGACTGCTAACCACAAGGCCAGCAGTTCAAACCCACAAGCCACTCCTTAGAAATCCCATACAGAGTTACTATGAGTTGAAAACAACTCGATGGCATTTAACAAACACCACCAACAAAAAATTATTTGAATTTTAAAACCCAACTTTTTCTATCGAGAATTTTATGGAGAGATAGTAATGGTCTAGCTACATATTGACTGGGATGGTGATTACATAAATGTATATGTATGCCAAAAGTCATGGGACCTACAGACTTAAAAGTATGTGAATTTTATTGTTTAAATTAAACTTCAATAAAGCTAATTAAAAAAAATTTTGTTTGTTCTAAAATGAATTCACACATAATTATAAAGGTCATCAAATTTAATTTTTAACAGTTGTCACCTTCAATTTACTTATTAGTTCAAAATGTCAGTAAAGCAATACATGTTTAAGATAAAATAGAGTATCAAAAATAAAATACAGATGTTCCTTTAATATAATTCTGTAATTCTAGGTACTCAGTAGGGATAAATTAAGTAAGTCTACATGAAATGTGATTTTTGGCAAGACTGTCAAATCATTAAGCCCTAAGAGTTACCTGAAGTTCTGCATAAACTGTGCAAATGCTTCTGTTCTTTCAGCAAGTGGCACGATGATGTTAATGACAGAGCTAGTAATGTCGATCACCTCACTCTTCACTTTCATGAGAGGTCCAAAAGGGCGGAAGAGGGTCACATGTCTGTGTGCCATCAGGTCTGCTTTCTTAAAAAAGAGCTCATACTGTGTGCCCTTATCCCTCTCGGTGCGACAGTAACCTGAAGACAAAAGTAGGAACAAAGGTGCCTCCCTGTTAAAATGAATAAATTCAATGGGAATATGGATTTTATTGAGCCAAAGTATTAAGCCATATCTGTAGGATTATTTAACTGTTCATAAAAATAGATATTATCACCAAAGTAGTCTGTACATTGTACAACTATTTCTTTAAAAGAAAAAAATATTTCACCGCTTTGCTCTATTATTATTTAATCCATAAAATAATGCTCCAAATAACAATTGTTCCTTTTCACATCTGATTTTTTTCATAATAAAACTATCATCACAGAAATTTAAAGAATTTACTTCTAGCAATATTAGATTCTATGCTCAGGAGTCAAAATGTTTACTACTTACTTCAACTAAAACAAATTGAGTGTCTTCATGTCAGATATAGATATAGTCCTGGTTTTGAAGATGAATCAGCCAAATGAAACAGACAAAAATAGTCACAATACACTGATACAGAGATATATAGAGGTAGTTCTATACAATAAGCACTAGACTGCAAAACACAAAGTCAGCGATTCGAACCCACCAGCCTCTCTGCAGGAAAAAGATGAAACTTCCTGCTCCTGTAAAAATTTAGAGTCTCAGAAACCATGGACAGGGTTGCTGTGAGTCGGAACCGACTGGACAGCACTTATTAACAACAATAGATAGAGATAGAGATAGAGATGTAATTAGTATGGTATGGCGCTGAAAGGCCGAGCATTGTACTGGTGACCACACAGCCAGTGGTTCAAATCTTCCAGACGCTGCTCGGAAACCCTACACATGGTCACTGTAAGTTGGAATCAACTTAATGGCACTTAGCAACAACAACATAATTAGTATACCTTTAACCTGGTGATCTGAGAAGACTCTCAGAGAAAAAGTACAGAGTCTACTGGACACTTCGATTTTAAAGTGTGGCCCTCAGGGAAAGAAAGTTAGACCTATAGATGCATGATTGGTGGTGGTAGTGTGCCGGGGAGTCGATTCTGACTCACAGTGACCCTGTATAGGGTTTCCAAGGCTGTAAATCTTCACGGGAGCAGAAAGCCTCATCTTTCTCCCACAGAATGACTGGTAGTTTCGAACCACTGACCTTTTGATTAGCAGCTTGGCTCATAACCACTATGCTACCTGAGCTGTTCAGATGCATGACTACTCCTACTTAATATTTGGAAGGAAATGTTGAAAACCCGTATCAGGATGCCCTCCTGAATCTTACAGTCTAGCAGGAACTGAATCAGTAAATGGACAACAAACACAACTACAGCATGAACAGGGGAAATAAAGAACAGCAGATTACAAGAGCACCCAGAAAGCACTGCTACCTGAGACTTGCAACGTTACAGATGACTTGTTAGAGGAAGTGGCATCTAGGCTGAAGTCTGAAAGATATGGCGGCTGTCAGTAATTACTGAAGAGCAGAGGGGCAGAATATAGGAAAATTAAAGGTGAAAATATGCAGAGACTCTAAGAAGAGTTATAAGCAGAAGCTGCAGACATAAATGTAGCAGCGTCTTTTCTTTTTAGGAGTCCTGGTGTGGCACTGTAGGATAAGCACTGGACCGCAAGGTCGGTTTGAACCACAAGATTGGCAGTTCAGACTCACCAGCTGCTCCCTGGAAACCCTATACAGGGTCACTATGAGTCAGAACTGACTTGACGGCACTTAACAACAATAACAACATGAGGAAAATTTTATACATATGAATTAGCTATCTTATTTCCTGGACAGCTTTCAATCTTGCCATGATCTATAGAGACAAAAAGCTGAGCCTGCAGAAAGCAGCAAAATTAGAAGAGTTTGAAAAGAAACCACCAGTCAATAATGACAGTATGTGAAAGCAGAAAAAAAAAAGGAAGACAGCTGAAATTCCAACAAAAACACAGTGCCCTTCCTGACGGCCTCCAAAGGCCCGAGTATATTATGGTACAGCAAATTATATTCAAGGAGACTAAACGTGGTATCTTTTATACAGAATCAGGCAAAGAGAACTTTTTAGAAAAAAAAAGTACAAAATGGTTAAGTCTGCAATTGAATATCTAGCAGGGGGTGATAAAATAGAAATGGGTTGTTGTTGTTACTGTTGTTATGTGCTAGTGAGTCAGTTCCTACTTAATAGCGACCCTGTACAGGGTTTCCGAGGCTGTAAATCTGTGCAGGGGCAGAAAGCCTCATTTTCCTCCTGAGGAACAGCTGGTGGGCTCACCTCATAATGACCCTATAGGACAAGGTAGAATTGCCTCATGGGGTTTCCAAGGCTGTACATCTTTATGGAAACATGGAGTAGCTTTTCAGTTAAAAAAGCTTTTTTAACTTTTTAATTAAAAGTCAAGTGCTTAATCACTGTGCCATCAAGGAAAAAAATCTAAGCAGAATGGCTCCGTTTGATAAATACTGCACTGCAAACCACAAGGTCAGCGGTTCGAGCCCACCAGCTGCTCCATCAGAAACAGATAAGGGTTTCTGCTCCTGCAAAGATTTAAAGCCTCAGAAACCCTACTGAGGGTCACTTTGAGTTGGAACAGACTCGACAGCCCTTAACAACAACATAATTCTAGATACATTATATTTCCCTGGTGTGGCACTGCAGGATAATGCACTGGACTGAGAAGTGGCTGGTGGGTTTGAACTGCTGACACTGCAGTTCAAACTGACCTTTCAGTCCAGTGCTTAGCCTATGATCTCACTGAAATGTTTTCCAAAGCAAAGTAAAAAGCAAAGTCATTGGCACAAGGTTAATCCCACTGACAGAGCTGAACTGCCCCATATGGTTTCTGAAAATCTTAATGGAAGCAGACTGCCACAACTTTCTGCCATGGAGAGTCTGGTGAATTCAAGAACACTTTGAATTTGTGATGGAATGAAGTAGGTAAAAGCATTAACATTTTAATATTGTGGATCTTGTTGTTGCTGTTAAGTGCTTTAGAGTCAGTTCCAACTCACAGCGATCCTACTGGCGACTTTGAGCTGCCAACCTTGCAGTTCAAATCGACCTTACTAAAGTCCAGTGATTATCCTCTTGTGCCATATCAGGACTCCAATATTGTGGACAAGCACTGATATATTACCATATACAACACTAGCATATTTTCCTAATAACATAAATTAAACCAGTACATTTTTCACATTACCTTCAATGAAGTCATTTTCATTAAATATCAGCTTCTCTCCAAGGGGACTATCCTCATCTTCCTGTTCATCATCTTCATCAGGATTATTAATGACCTCCAACCCAGCTTCAATAACTTCTACCAATTCATCGCGCTTATCTTTTCTAACTGGCTTTTCCTCAGGATGGCGAGTGAGACCCATTTCCAACTGGAATACTTTCATTAAGGTGAAACTTTCAAAGGGAATGACCCCATATTCACTTGGTATCTTGGCTCCTATGTTAACTTCAGCTTTGTCAATTTGGGAATGAAGAAACTCTAAAAGATCACTAGGTGCTTGCTCCTTGTTGCCTTGATAGCCTATGCCATTAACTCCTCCAATCTTTCTCTCTTGCAATGATCTCATCCTCTCACTCATTTCTTGTAATTCTTGTTTCAACTGGGCAATCTGGCGTTTCAGACTGGTTGCCCTGGTTTGATAATGTTCTTCTTGTTCCTGTAGGAGGGCTTGATAATACTCTTTACCATAATTCTCCCCAATGACACCTGGAAGAGATGCATTTCCATCAGTCTGGGGGGCACATTCCAGAAGGTACATAAATAATACCAAACTGCAGAGTAAAGCCAGGCCCAACAGCAGCCAGTGGGTCCGGGTTTGAAGAATCAATCCTCTTCTAGGCATTCTTATTCATGTGTACTTGCTTAATGAGGTAAGGTCTTTACTTGTTCATACCTTTAGCAGAAAGTTATCAAAAATGAAAAGCAAAATTCAAATTTCCATAAAAGGTACCAAAATAAAATGATTTCTCTCTTCAGAATTTCTTCTTCAGCAATCATGACTACTTGCAGAAATGAAACATTATACATACTTGCTGTATTGTTACCATGAAATCCAGAATAAAGCAATCTGATCTACAGAATCAGATAAAATCCACTTATATGGTGGTGACTTACCTGAAAGAAACAGATCACAATCAATTGGTATTTTGTTTCCTTAAGCACATCAGACTGTTGGCAAGTCCAGTAAACTGAGCTATGAGCACTAAGAGAGCATGGAGAGTGCCGCGAGAAGTGTGCACAGAACATCGAATACTCAGTACATAATATGAGGAAGTATTAAGAAAAATACTTCACAAAACACTGAAATAGTAAGTGAAGTACTTTGAACCAGCATGCTTACACATTCATAACCTTCTGAATCAAAGCGACACTAAAATTATGTTCATCATAGCTTGTGTTGACACAGATATTACTGTTCTGCAATTCCCTGGAAACTATACTCCTTATAACTCTTTATTAGCATACTATTTTGATTGACATGCCATTTCCCAACTGCATCATCTGACCTTTTGGGAACTGAGTTTCTATAAATTATGTGTTATATTATCATGGAGAGAGACGTTTTCTTCAAATCAAGCATTCTACGTCATTGATTTCTATGATTCACTCAAGTCCATTTAAGAGGCCTTAAAATTAAGTGGAGGGAAAAACAATTTCAAAAGGTCATAGACATCTGGGAAACACATTATTATTATTATTTTAATAGCGAAAGTCCTGCATTCGATTACTTGAGTATTACATCACATAATCCTTTCCACTGTACTGCACAATAACAGATTCTCTACAAGTCTGGGAGGGTTGCATGTCTATATAAAGAAAATACACAAATGTTTTAACATGCTACCTAGAGAGAAAAAAATGTAAAAGTATTTATGATAGCGTAGTGGTTACGAATCGGGCTGTGAACCTCAAGGACAGCAGTTCGAAACTACCAGCTGCTCTGCAGGAGAAAGATGAAGTGTTCTGCTCCTGTAAAGATTAACAGCCTTGGAAACCCTATGCAGGGTCGCTATGAGTCGGAACCGACTCCACAGCACATAACAACAACAACATAAACTTTAAAAATTGCATGCTACATTTCACGTTATAACCAGTTCTGTGTCTATTTTCTAAATCTGGTGCTGTTACGTTCCATCCAGTCAGTTCTAACTCACAGACACCCTGTAGGGCTTCCAAGGAGTGGCTGGTTGAGTTTGAACTGCCAACCTTGTAGGTCTACAGTACCATACCAGGTCTTAATTCTAGAAATAGAGAAGGCTGGTGTGGCGCTGTAGGATAAGCAATGGACTGGGAACCACAAGATAGGCAGTTCAAACCTACCAGATGCTCCTCAGAAACCCTGTACAGAGTTGTTATGAGTCGAAATCGACCTGATAGCACTTCACAACAACACGCCTAGGAAAACAGAACACGGACGGCTGTACTGGAGAGAGAACTGCCATTCTAACAAAGTGTTTGTCAGGAAGCATATATACCAAGAAGTGTAGTAGATTACGAGCTGGGCTACTAACCGCAAGGTCACTAGTTCATATCTATCAGTAGCTTCATGGGAGAAAGATGAGGCTTTCTACTCCTGTAAAAATTTACAGCCTTGGAAACCCTATACAGGGTCACTATGAGTTGGAACCAACTCTGTAGCACAAACTACCACCACGATATATGTAGTTGTTTTTGTCGTTAAGTGCTGTAGAGTTGATTCCTACTCATAGAGTTTCCGAGGAGCAGCTGGTGGGTTTCAACTGCTAACCTTGTGGTTCAGCGTTCAGTGCTGATCCACAGCACCACACCAGAATTTCAGCACATTTTTAACAGAGTTGGTTTCTACCAACAGAGCCTATTGTTGTTATCAAGTGTTGTTGAGTCAGTGCTGACTCACAGCAACTCAGTACAGGGTTTCCAAGAAGTGGCTGGTGGGTTTGAACCACCGATCTTGTGGATGGCAGTCCAATGCTTATCCTACAGCTCCACAACAGGACTCCAGCAGAACCTATAGCAGAAGATAAAGAAGAACCTATGGTGACTAGAAAAGCTCAGATACTTTCTGTGCAAAGTGCTGCGACATATGCTTTTGTGGTACACAGATGTATGAAATGCATGATGGACTCAAACTTTTTTAAGGTTACATGCGTTACCAAACCTGTTGTTGTTGAGTCCAACACATAGTGGCACGACAAGACAGAACAAGCTGCCTGATAGGGTATCCAAGGCTGTACTCTTTTAAGAAAGCAGACTGCTACATCTTCTCCAGGGAAACAGCTAGCAGGTTGAAACAGCTGACCTTTCAGTTAGCAGCCAAATACTTACAACACTCACCACCAGGATTCCTTGTCTTATGGTAAAAATAAATGAATACACAAATAAATATAGCTATCAAGTTGATTTCAACTCATAGCAGGCCTTTATAGGGGTTCCAGGAGTTATGTCTCATTGTGGAAAGAGAAAGCCTCATCTTTCTCCCACGGACAAACTGGTGGGTTTGAACTGCCAACTTTGTGGCAATCCAGTGTTTATCCTACAGTGTCACCAGACTTCATTAGCATTAGTCATTTATTGCTTCAACAGCTAAATGAGGGATATATAGGTATCCTGAAATTTTTATTTATCAACATATGTCAGCATCTCCCTAATTGTACATATTATTTTATTTTTAAGTGACATAGATTTCCTATATCACTTAAAAATTCATCTGTTTTGATAAATATTATCTATTTAAGAATAATAATAAGACTACAAAGCCAGCATCAGTTGCAGGATTTATCTCTTCTCAAAACTAAAGCCATTACCAGAAGACACTACTTGAATTTCATTATTTAAAAAATAAGACTAAGTTCACTTTTAATTATTTACAAGATATCACTAGCCCACTCGTAGGGAAACAAAAGCTAAAACTGAAAGTGTGGAGAAATAATCCTACATAACTTATTAATAAAGGTATATACATTTGTTTTAACGTTTTATTGTGATAGTTTACATAGGACAACAATAGTTTTACATTCATCCTATCGCATATCCTTTCATTGCCATGGTTACAATCCCTTCCATGCATCATCAACCACCAAACGGTATACCCTACAAGCCTGACCCACAGTCTTCAGCTCAGAGCCCCTCTCCCTCTCTGGGGCTACAGTCCCCAGCTGCTCCATCTCTCCACATCATCGTCTATGCCTCCATCTCTGGTGTTACTGCTTCTTGCTACACTTAATCACTCCCCTCCTTGCTACAAAATGTCTACCTTTACATTTCCAACCCTCACAAGCAGTCCTGATAAAAATTATTCACTATTGTATCACCGGAGACCTATCCTCATCTCTTTCATCAGCCGCGCCTGGACAGACTAGTTAATACCTAGTGGAGATTCTACGTTCCTACACACCCTCTGGATCTAGGTTCCCTCTTGAAAGCTTGTAAGCCAGTCACTTCTTGCCTTTGTACCCCCCCCCCCCCAATTTTGGGTCACCAATGTCCAAGTTGCCCATCCCTGTCTACTGTGTATGGAAGGGGTGGGAATGATTCTGGCTGTAAAGATTTATTCCCTCTTTTGAGCTACTGCATCCATATGTATAGGTCAAGTTCATTAAATTGTATCAGTTAACTCTTTTTTTCCCCTCTTTGTTCTTCTTCTAGTTGAGCTCTGATCATCCAGTCATTGAAGCCAGGTCAAGTGGGTATTATCTGCAAGTGTGGCTGTTCTTATGCATATGCCCTCTCTTCTTATCAGCTGGATGCTTCACTCTCCACTCTAGTTCTCTGTGGCTATGTCACTGACTCTGGGCTCAAGAGTCCCCAGGTCTTGCCACACTGCTGGCCAATCGGGTCTCCACCCAGGTTCACAGAAGTCTATTGAATGTTGTATGTCTTGGCTCGCAGCTTCGCTGCTGTTTTGCCCACATTTTCCCTTATCGGTGACAAATATGGTCACCAATCAGTGTGTATTCCCATGGAGTCATAGTCTTGAAGGAGGTTTGCTCTGAGGGACCCGACCAATTATCTTGATGTCTTCTGGGCAAGCAACTTATTTGTTCTTGTAGTAAACACTCGATCTGCCTATATTGTTTTGTATTTTTCCTGTTGGACTTTCTTTCAAGAATTATCTTATGTTCTTCTAGCCACTCCAGGCTGGTCTGCCCATCCTTTTAAATGGAAATTTCCCACTTCTGAAGATTCTGGATGCTGTTCAGGATTCCACCTACACTCTTATGTAATGCAGAGGCTCCAAAGGAAGCTTCCTTCACTGGGCATGTTGTAGACCCATTTTAGGAATTCAAATCAGTTATAGGCAGAAGACAGACTTACAAGCTTTCTAGGGTGGTATTTCTGGCTAATCCTTTCTCTCTCCCTCCAGTGTCTATTTTATAATTGTATGAAAGAGAAACCAAGATTCAAAAGACAACACAGAGAGGGAGAGGGGCTGTGTGCTGATGACCGGGGGGCAGGCTTGCAGGGTATACCCTTTGGTTGGGTGATGATGCATGGAGGGAATTATAACCATGGCAGTGAAACGACATACGATAGGATGAATGTAAAGTTAATATTCTCCCATGTAAACTATCACATAATTCACAATAAAACATAAAAAAAAAAAAAGATTTAAAAGACAGCCAAGCATCTTAACATTATTTCCTCCCTTTTCCCCATTCCAACCATATCTCAATCCCTGTATCCCAGAGCCCTGTTGTTCCAAGGTTGTACACACATCATTCTTTACCTCAGTCCCACTTAGCCCATGCAAACCTGCCTAATTGTTCTTCCACCCACTTTGTTCTTCCATTCCCTTCCCTCTTCTTGTATATTGTTGCTCTCCTCAGCATCCAAACTACCCTGTGTCTATTCCCTGCTCTGTGCTCCAACTTCCCCTCCCTCCCCTAACCTCACCGCCCACATCCAAGCAACCAACAAAGAATCACCCCCAACCCCTTTAGCATGGGTTCTTTTATTAGTCTTTTACAGTAGTGGTCCTACACAGTATTTCTCCTTTTGTGACTGACTAATTTCACTGCACAGGAACTTTTTAAAGTATTGAAGAGCAGAGATGTCAGCTTGAGGACTAGAGTGCGCCTGACCCAGGCCATTGTGTTTTCAATAGCCTCATATGGATGCGAAAGCTGGACAGTG